GACCAAGAGAGAGAGAGAGAGAGAGAGAGAATCGAGAAAAGCCGTCAAACGTATGTTTCTTCATTTCTTGTTTTCTTTACCTTTTACTCTTGTTTATTTTAATCAATCAAATCGATCGAACGAACAAACTATTCTATATTTTCCTCACTATCTGACAACACCAATAACAAAATAGTATTACAGTTACCGTTTAAATGTATAATTCAATGAATTCATGGATAAAATCTAGGTCTTACGCGGAATGTCTGATTCGATTCGATACAAACGATGATCAAAACAACAGTCGTCGTGATTTTTTAGCAATTAAATAGACAAACCTTATTTTTTTTTGTCTATTTAAGTTCTTATCTTAATCTTATAAAAATAAGTGCATAAACTATACCCAACATATTATATATCATTAGAGATATCAATCAACAACAAAACATCCTATGGTTAAATTTTGATAAAAAATTAAACGAAAAAGACAACATTTTGGGATATTAACTAAAATGATCGTTAAAACTAGCAGGGAAATATACCACCGAGCTGGTGGAAGTTCTCGTTATCGCTCTAACGAAGTGAAATCTACCTTAGAAATCCCATATTTAGTTGGAGATAACTTCGTACGTTATCCATGAAACACTGTTTACTTTCTAAGCGTGCGAGAGAAGGAAACAGAGAGAGAGAGGGAAGGAGAGAGGGAAAGAGGGAGAGAGAAAGGAAGAGCTAGTGGAGCTCCAAAATCGTTTTAGAAGGCCAGTGAGCTTGCTAGAGAGGGATGAGGAAGAGAAAAGCGCATCTCCCTGAGGTAATATCGCAATGAAATCTGCTTTAGTCCCTGTAGAGAAGCCACTATGGTTCCCCATGGTTTATCCTCGGACCTGGCTTAATCCTACCACCCTCCTTTTCTCTCTCTCTCTCTCTCTCTCCCCCTCTTCATCTCTCTTGCTCGTAATACCGACTACACGCTGCGCGTAACGCAAATTCATGTCGTCGGGGTGTTCCCTGTCAAATTAGGATGAACCATAACGCATACATTATGGAAAGCAACACGATTCACCCCACTATGTGTGTCTCTCGCTCTTACATACAAACGCACGCGTGTGCGCATATTCTCTCACACACATACATATATATATATATATATATATGGAATGTATATATCCATACATGCAATATCATCGTTCCAAGTTATTTCAAAGCATATCTTTGAAAACTGATATTAAAACGGACAAAGGGAGAAAATTTCTTCATACGACTTCTCTCTCTCTGCAGTCTATTTTCTAAAAAGTGGACAGAAATCGATTTTCTATAGAAGACATTTGTGTATTGCGAATATTGTGATATTTATTTCTACTTTTTTTATTCTATTAGATATTAATCTTAGAATTATTTATGACAACTAAAAGACGAGAAGGAGAGAATTTAGGATTTGTATAAATTATTTATATTATATTTATAGTCCCTGAGAGTTTAAGCAATACTTCATACTTCGTCGATAATGTGATTCACGAAGGTCGTTTATCGATTTGAATCCAAGTTTTAATCCTTTACAGTAGGCAATCTATTTGTATAGATATGTAAATAGATGTTAGCCTGCTATTAGAGGCTAAAAGTTATCTATAAATTACTCACACACAAGAGCAAAGCATAGTATATATTAACATAAATTATAGAAAATCGATAAATATTCCTAATTGATTATAATCGAGACCGTTTTGAACTAAATATAACATCTCAGGATTGATATAAGTCTAATGATGTATAAGATTAAAAATTAATTACTTTTAAAACGCAAAGCTTATTACTATTCAGTATCTCGTCTTAAATTTCAATAGGTTTTTTTTTATTATATTATAATCAGATTAAAGATTAAATCAGACGATGTATATAATGAATGTTAATTAAGTGTGTAATGACTCGTTACACGATATTTGTTCTAATATTTTGCAACTATTCGATCTTTATAAATTTGACATTATTCATTAGAGGTATATTCAAATAGAGAATAATATTCAGGAACTCTCGGTAATAAATAAAGCATATACAGCCTGTCTCTGCATCGTGTTTCCCAAGTAACGGATGAGTCAATCATTTATGCTCCACGCATACAGATCTAACCATCGCTCTATCCAATTTGCAGAAGATTAAAAACATCTCTGGTGCTACATTTTAACTAGTAACATCGCCATTACCAATTCATTCCTTTGATTAGAATTATTTTCCATTTCGTATAAAATGAAATTTGACGAAATTATTGAAATAAATGAAAATGTTCGAAATTTTGTCGAATATACCTAAAAATAACATTTTGCATAATAATTTCAAAAATAGTATATATTACGTTCTTGAACTTAAAAAAAAAAGTATTATCAGAACGTACTTCATAAACTTGAAACAAAGTAAAAAGAGAGAGTGTGTGTGTGAGATATATGCAGTTATTATCTTATTAGACGTCGTCTTCGAATGTACACGGTATAATACTTTAGATAGTTCTGTATTTCTCTTTAAATTGGGATCAAACTTTGTAGAATATGAAACTAGTAGAATGGGAAGAAGGATAGTAGGAGTATTTAGTAAAGACCATAGGACGGAGCCGCACGTTTCGCGAACATCCGGTGTTGCAAATCCAAGGGAACTCGAACTAACATAAGACAGATGACGGAAGAGGAATCGTCTGGGAAACTCGACTTAGCACGGTTGGCACATTGGCAAGCCACAAGAGCCGATCGAAGATCTTCTACACCTATATTCAAGTTCATAGAAACACACTAATACAAATGCGCATAGCATACCTATACATGTAAAAGCTCTTACATCTCCGAGGTAAAGACGCGATCGTTTCAGGAAGGAACGATCGTTAATCCGATTTCCCTCTCAGTAGTGACGATCCTTTCTCTCTCTCTCTCTCTCTCTCTCTCTCTCTCTCTTTCTCTCTCTCTCTCTATTTCTATGAATTTGCGATTTCAACCGATCCCACGCTGCTGCACTCGCCGTTATTGCAGTCACGTTGCCAGCGGTACGCAGAGCAAGTCCCTTTTACGCTCTAGGAGTTCCTTTTACCCTCTTCATGAACCCGACATCCAGCGTGCTCTTGCACGTGAGTCATAGACGCATGCTGAACTAGACGTAGAAATTAATTCCTTCTAACGTTTCTATGTTATTAACTATTGAATTGGCAACTAAGTGAGTGCGGATTTGTTGATTGGCAGCTACTAAGTGCACTTGTGGTTACTTTAATAAAAATCTACAGGTCAATGCTTCGATTTATAATTTCTATACGTTAGATGAAAGCTTTCTAGACATTATTTTCTCGTACCACTAAAACTATCTTCTAAAGATTGAAACAAGATCTATCTTCATTGATCGTTTATTAATATTGTTAATATTATTTTATTTAATATTGGATTGCATGGAAATTTCCTACCGATTTCTGAATATATACATTAGCGGGCTGAAAGGTTTTGAGTCTAACATAGAAACAATTTTTTCTTTTTTTTTTTTTTTTTGCGGTCAAATTCATTTTTATTTTTTTATCGAGACTCATAACTTTTCAACCCATCCTCGTATATATTCGATTTAAATATTTAATATATTGCATACATTTATCTGAAAATCGCTCGTAAAAGCTTCTCGGGCAACCATGCAATCATACGTTAGGTTGTCCGAAAAGTTTTTTGAGAAAAATTGTACGTAAAAATATCAATCGGCACTAACTTTTCGAATAATCCAATACATATTATTATTATTATTATTATTAATAATATTGATTAATAAATATTTTACATAGAAAAGAGAAGAAAATTAAAATAAATGAAAAAGTTTTCAAGAAGATATGCAAGTAAGTAAAGGAGAAAAGTAAAAGTTTTCTCATTCGATATGAGAAAATTTCATGATCGTTTCGCGAAAATTCGCGGTTTAAATTGGCTGAGATATTTCAGGATTCGACGTTGCGGGTTACATTGCGGGATAACCACGCGGAAAGTTATCCACAGGGAAGGTAGCATTAATCAAATGAAGCGGTTTCCGTTATAGCGAAGGCGAAGATGACTCCGAGCTGCCTTCCGCTAACGTAAGGATAATCAATCCAGCGAATTAGATCAGATAGCTGGCTTGCTACGTGCGCCAACTTTGTCTCCCTGGATTTATTCTCTCCCTCTCTTCCCACTCCACTCTCCTTCTCACTCCCTCTCCCTCTTTCTCTCTCTCTCTCTCTCTCTTTCTCTCTTTCAAAGGAACAGAATAGATAAAGATGGTCTCAAGCTCTGATAATTGACTTGATTTTCTTACTTTTCCCCTATCAACAAAAATTTATATTTTTCTTCTTTAAGCCAGAGTCATTTTTTAAATAATTCCTGTCTTGATGAGATTATTATTTTTTTCTCTTTTTCTATCTCTCATTTCTTTTTTTTTTTCTTTTATGCAAGATAAAGCAAGCTCTTTATTTCTAGTTTTTATTAAGGAATCAAAATAATTCACGTGTGCTATTACTAAAAATACCTAACGTTGTTTTCTTACTAAGGACGTGTATATAAGCTGTTGAGAAATTGTAAAAAAAAAAACAAGACACGACCTACTTGGGAATAATCCCTCTTTTTCTTTTTTTCTCTCGTTCTCTCCAATTCATTTTTGCAGTCCATTCTTAAAAACGTTATCTATAAAATTATCTATTCACTGTCTCCTTAGTAACGTAATAAAGAAATAAAATAAAAATAAAACAAACAAAATTAAACGCAGCTGTAAAATCTTTAGAATTTGAAATATACATTTTCAAAAAACTTGTCTGTTGGTAATTTAAACGATCTCTTTTACTGTTCCTTCAATAAATTCTGTTCACTTACTTTCCTTGCCCTACGCACGATGATAATGAAAATTGCCAAGTTCTCTTCAATTTTATCAAGAGAAACGATAAAATAATCATCCTGTCGATTTTCATTTTTATTTTCAAAGTATTCTACAATTATATTAAAGGTAGTATTACATATATATTTATGTATGTATGTATATATATATATATATATATATATATATGTGTACGTGTGTGTGTATTTTTTTATTTTTAATAAAATAAATGCATCGTGCTACAATACTGCACCAAAGGTACTATAAAATGTTACAAAAATGCAGGAGCGTTTGACGCTTTACGAGCATTTTGGCGATATTTCTTACCATAGTTAGCTTCCCCTCTCCCCGCCCCTCCTGACTTTGCCACCCCTTTCTTCCTGTGATTAAACACAGTTACATGGTAATACATTAATCTTTATTACTAGATAGGACGTTTGGTATTTTGATTGCTTATTATTTGAGTACTTTAATAATAGCTAAGATACATAAATATATTTTGCGAATGATACGCAGTTTAAATTGGGTTTACACGTTATTTACGAAGATCGCCTACTTTATTATAATTGCAGGAGAAAAAGTATATTATGGAGTAGAGAAAAATACATTTTCTTACAACATTGTAAAATTTGGCTTAGTTATCTGTGTTTGATTTTTCGAAAAGAAAAAAAAAAGTTACGAACGTTGGATGCATGGTAACATCATTGGAAGAGCCAAAGAGTATTTTACTAGCTACCCCTCAAAGCAACGAACCTCATTCTATGTTAAATATTTTCGAAAACTCGATATCGACTGCTTATTTTCACATAAATGGTCCGTTCGCATTTAACTTCCTGCTAATCGAAGATATAACAAATAATGTTATAGTTACAAAGCTCCATTGCGTATACCTTAATGTAGCAGTCTTTTAATTCTAGATACTGATCTCTTTTACGTAAAATTCTTAATAAGTATACATAATAAATGCCTAAACGCAAGGTTCGACATAATTGCCGGGAAATAATCCGGTTATTCCATCCATCACTCCTTCCCACCAACCATCATCGTTCTTTTTTAAAACGTAAATGACAGAGCTCTCTTGAAAACTCAATTCGTCTTCTTTATCGGCATAATAATCATAAATAGCAACGACTAAAATGATTCATTTGTATTATATTAATCCATATGTTGTATTACCATGGGAAAATAAAAGAAGAAATTGAACTTACCTTTCTCAATATAATTTTTGGGCACCCAACCAGGCAAATCTTCTTCATCCGGTACAATAGGCATTATAGCACCGCTCGAAGGAGTTGGTCTACCGAATTGAGGATGCTCCTCTTGTTCTGGAGGCGGAGGAGGTGGCAGTGGTGGACTGCTAGCACCGCTACTTCTACTAATTTGATGTGCTAATCTATGCGGTAAAGTATGGTGCCCACTATAATCAGCCATATCTCCACTGATACCGACCAGTGGAGAAGGTGGTGCTAAAACAATAATTTAGTAATTAAATGATCTTAAACTTACTTAAAAAAATAAACTTGTAATAAGTTTTATTTACGGGGCATATTATTATGTTGCTCCTGTATATATCCTGCAGCTCCTGTCACACTTGGCGGTGCTGGCGGTGGAGTCTGTGGATGACTTTGTAACGGATGAACTGTACCCACTTGAGGTGGAGAAGTATGTTGTGTCATATTGTTTGTGTGAGTAGAATGATTGGCATTGTGAACAGAATGAGAAGTTGTATGAGTATGCAATGGCAAAGTACTATATCCTGGACCACGCTCGCGTCGTGGATGACCCAATGGATAATTTGGCGCATAATGACTAGGAACTTGAGGTGGAGCAACTGCAGGTGGGGTTCTATATTCTCGAGAACCCTTACTCAGTGTTCCTATTAATGAAATAAATGGTAGATTAATTAAAAGATTATAATATTTCAATTCTTGAATACTTCAAAATAATCATGAATCATTCTTACCAGTCCTTACTGTTTGTGGAGGAGTCGGTGGCTTAGTAGTAGGAGCAGGTCCTACCATAGCTGCAGCTAAACCAGAGCCAGTAGATGTTGCACCCAAACTTTGAACGCTACCTTGACTACCACCCCTTTCTTTACTTCTTGGTGTGCCACTACTACGTACACCATGACCGATGTCATCCAAAATCGTATAATCTATGCTTTTTCTTACATATTTAATAGGCTTTTCAGGATTTGCAGGTGCTATAATTTTATATTGACGGGCTGTCATTTTGTTAGCCGTTAATACACCTATCTCTCGCCTAGCAACTTTTTCTTTATGTATCATTACAGTTTGAGCTATGTGATTCATCTGACTTTCCATCTCAGCTAATTGAGATGTTTGTAAATCTAATAATTGAAGAAAATTATAAGCGAGAGTATTTATTTGATATGCTACACTAGCTAATGATTGAGTCGTATAATTCTTTGTTTCTTCTAATGCAATCCTTTTATTGTCTGCTTGAAAATAATTAGCCTCGCAATAATCCGCAACACGTTCAAGATTAGTATGACTGTCTGCGAGATTGTGTCTTCCCTCAGGAATTTCATGATGCAGCAAAGCTGCTAGTTCGGCCATGACTTCTGAATCACTGCCTACTCCAGAAGACACGCAATACGAACCAGATCCTTGCATTTGAAAATACAACGCATTAGAAATTTAGTTCATCCTTATAATAAATAGAAACAATTGAACATTGTTCATGAAACAAATGTAAAAAGAAAAAGAAAATAAAAAAAAATATGAGTCATGCTTTGTATGATCATCATTATATTTATTTGTGATTATTCAATTTGAACATATTTGACAACTATTAAAGACATTCAAGTCACATTAGTGATTTATGATTAAGAAAATGAAGGAAAAAATATGGTTATGTTAAAGCGAATAAAATAGATAATTGATTAGAGATTATATATAATAGAAGTAAAATATTAAGTGTTTGACGTATGAGACTTGGTATTTAATAGACGATAAAAATTATGTATCAAGGATGATGACGAACATGCAGGAGAAGCAAGATGGAGATCAAAGATGAACATTTCCTTTTTTGAAGTGAAAACAATGCTGCAAAATGAAATATAATGAACGTATATAAATTGAACTAACGATACTCAGCCATATCGCAACTACCAGCTACTACTGCTGCATTAATTCATAATTACCAGGATTCTTCTTATTTTCGGATTAAAATAATTAAACAATCTACTTTACGCTTTATACGGCAAAACTATCTGTCACGACAGGTACAATCGAACGGTATGCATTCGATAACGATATATAAACGATATATCTAAATAATCGCACTTTCATCGATACCTAATGTAACCCAACTTTACGTGACACTCCGTAGTTGTCAATTGCATTTAAAGAAAAGGATGTATACAAGCTAAAAGCACTGGCAGAAAATAAAAGGAAATATGAGATAAGGATGTAGAAATTTTAATCGAGATTTTCGATAAATCGAAAATGAGTGTAATACATAAGTAACCTCGAATTTTACGATTCGATATATCGTTTAATATGATATAAAATGCGATAATTGCATTTCAAAGGGAGAGTCTGATAAAATTCTAGCACACATCTCTTTGTTGGGATTAAATGATTTATACAGTTTTATAAATATCGTATTTATTTAATAATCAAATTATAATTTAGTCGAACGTAAGACTTATCATTTTCTTAACTTGGATAGGTGAGGAATTGTATGTTTTTATGCAGAAAGGAGATACAAAGAATATGATATTCTCTATGGGAAAATAATTTATATATATATATAATATAATGTAGCTTGTGTGTGTATGTGTGTAGAAGAAAATTTCAATTTTAATATTAAACTTTAATTCTGTCGAAATTCTACATTGCAATTATAATGGACAACCTTATAAAGGAATTGGAAGGCTTAAAGATAGCAGGAACTATAATAGATGAAGGACTATGGTCGAAATGCATTAATCTTGTAGAAAATAATTTTGTACCACAGAAAGAATGTGGCAATGAACGACCATGCGAGGAAAAAGACTTCAGTGAATATAGAATTATAGTGGATAGAAATTTAAACAATATTAAATTTATGTTAGAACATATTATACAAAGTTATAATGAAACTAATATACGAATAGATTATGATAATATATTAGTGAAAACATTTGCTATGAATTTAATATACTTGATTGGAGAAATGCATGAGAAAAATATTTGGAACACTGTAGAATCAGTGGCAATCTCCAAAGAATTAACTGCATGTTTCTGTCAGTTATATTGTTATTTAAACGTTTCACAATTTTTATTTGAAAATAATAATCTTAGTATGATACTAGAAAAGTTTAGATACAAATTGCAACGTGACAATTGGAAAACCTATCCATCTGCTGTTGCATGGTACAAATGGATGCTACAACAATTAAAGGTTTTTTAATATTTAAACTTTAATTTGAATTATTTATTTGATATTCCTAATGAGAAGATTGATTAATTATATTTATATTACAGGGATTGAATTCATCCGAGCATATTCGTGAGATACTTCCAACATCTCTAATAATTATTGATGATTATGTACCCGAAAATGTAGTCATAGGATTAGAATGCTTACATCAAATTACAAATTACTCTCAGCCATCTTTGGTTGGTAAAATAATTATATATTATACAAGCTACAATAATCAGCACGAATATTATAATTTGATTTGATATGATATATATTTTTGCAGAAAAAGGGATTTATAGATACTGGTTATGCAGAAGCAGTTTATTATACATTAGAACGTCTAGCTCATCAAAGAAATGTGAAATATGTTGTGCCCTTGTATTTATGTTTAACAAATATCTTAGAAATGCTGGACATGTATGATAATAATAAGAATATGTTTGAGGTATATATTTTTTTATATTATATATATATAAAAATATAATGTCTTTTGAATTTATTTATTATTAAATAATGTATATTATTAATGCATATATTTACAGTGGACTAAACGAGATGAAATACTTTCAATATTATTAAGTCATATGGAATTTGAACGAGATGTAGAATTACGGCATGCTTATATGTTAAGTTTACCAAAACTTCTTAACATTGGTAGTACCAAATGGTGTGAAAAAATTGCAAGAATACTTTCTGATTATTGTGAACATCATACAGATCTTAGAACTTTAAAAGTTACGCTAAAGGTGAGAAATAAAACTTCTAAATTAGATAAATTTTATTTCTAGTGTTAACAAAACATATTTATAAAATGTTATTTGTTAATTTAGGCTGGCAAAGCTTATCTTGCGATGTTTAACTTTCGAATAGCGGCACACTGTATATCGCTGTATACAGCATTCCTGAAGTTACATTTCGATTTAATAAAAATACCAACATTTGATATGGAAATAGTGCAATATTTAGAAGATTGTATTTATTATCTCTATAAATATGCGCCCAATATAGGCTGTGCTCTTATAAAAGACGATCGTTTGCGTATAATGATTAAAAGCAAGGTTCAAATACAATGTCTAGGTGATAATAAATATCTAGAATAAATGTTCTAAGTCATTTTATATCATAATATTATCCAATTAATAGATAACAAGTGATGAATCTGTAATCTTATACAAATTTGTAGAATTCAACGTATAGAAAATTGTACTTTGTACTTAGAAATCTTTTTGTGATATGAACAAAGTTAACGTATATTATTTGTATCTCAAAATACAACCTTTTATCATAATATTACTTCGTATATTTTTATTCTTCATATAAACATCAACGTTAATTAGACTAAATTATCTTTATATAAATACGTTTTGCTTAAACCGTTTTACAAAATCTGATAAAACTGTGCTGCATATAATGTATTAATCTATCCAAAGCAATGGAATTTTAAGATTCAGCCTAACATTTTAAGATTTTTCCGTATACTTATTATTCTTTCGATATCAAGTCACTTGGTTTTAAATATATAGAATAATTACGTCTTTGAGTATTGATTGTTCTTCTTATGGACTTTAACATAGATATTAATCTTATTATTCTTGACTACGAATAATCGAAAACACTCTAAAAAGATAACGATTACGAGTTCATTTACATTTATTATCAAAAGTAGAAGGAACACGAAAAAGATATAAGTATCTAATCTCTGTAACGGAGTATTACCACTTATATTATTATAAGAACTTTCTTATTACGTTCGAGACATTCTATTGAATAGACGTTATTGTGTGCAAGAATGTTTTACTTCTTACTGTTAATTGTTATTTTCCTGCTAACATATGAATATTACAAATATGCAACCAGTAAACCACCAGGAACACCTCCGGGTAAATATTTCGATTAATATTTTATTTTATACGTTAGATCGCTAGAATAAACTCATTCGTTTATCTTTGTTCTGTAATAAAATAGGAATCGTTGGATTACCGATAATAGGAGCTTATTGGAATTTGTTATGGAAAGATTACAAATTTCCATATAAATCGTTGAGTTATTATACGAAAAAATTAAAATCTAAAGTAATTAGTTGTTATCTTGGCTCGTTTTTTACGGTAATAGTTAGCGACTATGCAAGCATTAAGGAATTATTAAGGAGAGAAGATTTCGATGGCAGATTAAATGAAGCCTATATGTTGAAAGCACGTGCATTCAATAAAAAATTAGGTAATTTAATATTCTATTTGTAAAATTACTTTTATAATAAATTTGTTTATATATTCTTTTATGTAAAATGTAATTATATTAAATTTTAGGTATATTCTTTACGGATGGAGAACAATGGCGAGAACAAAGAAGATTCGCTCTTCGACATATGCGAGATTTCGGATTTGGTCGACGACACGAAACATTCGAAATGAAAAGTAGAGAGGAATTAAATATTTTAATGGATTTGTTAAAAAATGGTTCTATAAACGAAGGTGAAAAGGTATCTTAGATTTCATTTTGTGTTTGGAAAAAAAAAGAAAATTGAAGAAACATGAATTATTTTTGAATTCGAAATTTTTCTATTATAGAAAATTTATAATAACGGATTGGCTCTTTTCCCCGACATTTTCTATCAATTCTTTGTGAACAACATATGGGAAATTATGTTCGGATACAGATTCGAACGTAACGAATATGAAAAACTTCGTTACTTCTCTCGAAATGCAATGAAATTCCAAAGATCAAGCGACACGTCGGGCGGTGCTATTCTCATTTACCCGATCACGTGTCACTTTGGAAATTTATTTTCGTTCAAAGATTTTATTAATTCTAATTATGCTATGATAGATTTCATAAAGGTAAATAATAAATAATCGTATTTTCTGAAACGTATCGCTTAACTTTAGAAATGATTCGAATTGCAGAAATATTTGCATGAATATAAAGCAATGTACGGAGAAAATGGCGAATATGGATTTGTTGGCAGATATTTAAATAAGTTAAAAGAAAGCGATCTTCCCTCTTCTTTTTCGGAAGAATATCTTATAATGACACTGTTAGATTTCATGTTTCCTAACTCAACTGCGACGCCAAGTGTTCTTACGTTTGCCATCAAATTAATGATGCATTTTCCAAATGTTGCGAAAAAAGTGAGAAACGAAATACACGAGGTCGTTGGAAGTGGAAGAATACCTACTTGGGGGGACAGAAATAGGTAGGAGTAATTAAATGTTGAATAAAAATAAATACAAATTGACGATGTATTTTATTTTTTGGGGATTTAATTCGGAGACTATTGTTTACTTTGTTTTGTTCATAGACTCCCATACACAGAAGCGACTCTACGTGAAACTATGAGATACGAAACGATTACTCCGTTAGGGGTTGGTCATAGAGCTACCAAGGATACAACTTTCCAAGGATACTTCATTCCAGCTAATACGACTATGATAACCAATCTTGCAGAGATGAATAATGATCCCGATTTTTGGGGCGATCCAGAAAATTTTAGACCAGAGAGATTTTTAAAAGACGATGGACAACTTAATAAAGATTTTACGTTACCTTTTGGAGCAGGTAAATCATATCTTTTATTTCTATTGCATTTGTCTATCGTCTATACCTTAATTTCTTAATTATTTATTTAAATAACAAATTATAGGACATAGACTGTGCGCTGGTGAAACGTTCGCGAGATATATGATGTTTGAAGTTTTTGCTGCTTTAATGCAAAACTTTGAATTTGCCTTCGTCGATGGTCAACCAACGAACTTAGAAGATAAATATCCTGGCCTCATTATTACTCCAAAAGAAACTTGGATTCGTTTAAAACCATGTACTTAAAGTGCATTTTATTCGATCAAAAAAATATTGGTACGAACAAACGAAAATATCGGATATTTAATTATAAGTGACATATATTTTAAGCACGTTACATTTAAACAATAGTAATTACTTATAAGGTATGCTTATTGGGTATATTTCGAATAATATATAATTCGTAAGTTTATAATTGGAAAAAAGATAGTAAGTAACTTATTTTGGAAACTATCAAACACTTACGAGCGAATGAAAAGTAATGACATAATAAATGCAATTGCATGAAATAGAAATATTATATTTACACTGAATATGTGAATTTTAATAATCTATTTTACCATAGATAATGCTAAAATAAAAAAGACATTCTACAGTAATATAGTGAACATAGAAAATTCATAAAAATTTAGAAAATTTTTACATATATTATGCATGTATAATTTTTATTATTATTATTATAATAAACTAAGTTCGAATGTGAAATATATTAATAGCAAATAAAAAATTTTTTTAGATTTAGAATATAAATGGTATGAGATATTATTTTAAGCGGCAATGGATTTATAATTTAGTATATGTACAATTTCTATTATTATCTTAACAGGATTCTTACATCAGTTTTATGGTCAATGACAAGAAAAATCTTAATTAAGTATATACAAACCACTATTAAACTGTTGAATAGTTCAAACATTTCCATTGTGTCTGAATATAATATACTTGTTACTTTCAAGATTAAACAGTCATTACAAATAATTGTCATACCATTATTTTACTTATTGTTAATCTAGCTGATACATAAATAAAAATTATATTTATTTTTGTGTATTAAATTGATAAGATATATCTTATATATAGCTTTGACATCAATTATTTAAATTTAATTAATCTTGCTATAAGTAGCAAAGCATAGGTGCATAAAAAACGATAGAATGTGATATAGTGCAACAATTCTTAAAATTAAGAGCAACGCCCAGGTATGTGTCTCAAAAATATTTTGTACCATTATTTTCTTTATCTAAACAATGAATTTTATAAATCTTAATAGATCCGGTTTATTTGGTTTCTTGTTTTTAATGATAAGCACAAGATCGTGTATGCACATACAAATCCTATTTTGTATATAATTTTGCTAATAGCTGAGAAATTGTTCATTTTGTGGCACAATATAAAAGTACTGGAGTCTGCCTTTGTACTCTTTCAATTATTTACCACTGTCACAAGCAATCATTAGTTTTCTAACAAGGTGATACATTTTTTACAGAAAAAAAAATATATGTGAACAGCATACAATTGAAAGGGTATGAAACTCATGCGAACAAACCCTGTACAAACGTTTCAATCAATTCATTGTCATCTAATCGTATTACGTATTTCGATTAAACGACAAATGACAGTCTATTGTATTAATTTTCTATAAAAAAGTATTCTTATTCTCTGTTAATTAAAACGTATAAACCCAAACACCCTAGAACGGCATATTTAAATTTGGGATATTCATTCATGTAAATAGTAACCATACCCACATACGGTAAAAATCCTCTTGCTCTACCAACAACGTCTTTGTGTGTTAGCCATAATTGTCCTTGTGCATATAAACCTCTGTCATCAATAGAATTATTATCACCTTTTGTTAAAAATTTAACAGTATTGTTCTGGTCTCCTCTGAAATATATTTCAAATTCTAGAGAACCGTATAGATGAAAAATAATATGTAATTAACTAATTCTTAATAAAGCACTTACTTTTCGTGGAGCTTCAGAACTCTATGCACTATCGGTATCTCTCTTCCAACGACTTTGAAAACAACAATTTCTCCTACTCTCATAGGTTCATTCTGATGATTTGTTAAAAATAATAGATCACCTCTATGAAATGCTGGTTCCATACTACCACTAAAACATCAAATAAGAAAAGGGTGTATAACAAACTTAGATTATACAAATGAATACTAAAACATTGCATTAAGAAACGTAATAGGTTAGTTTACTGCTATACCTTAAAACAACAACAATGGGACTTTCGCTACCAGTTACAACCATTAGACCTTTCCATATCATTAAGGCCGATGACACGATCATGCCAAAGCTCAGCACTTGATACAGGAACTGCAAATAAAAGAAGATTCTATTAGACTACGAATTCTTGTGCGACCATATGTGTTTTTTGAACAAATCCAAGACACTATAATTTAAATGAAATTAATTTACCTGTCGTTTGTTCATCCGACGTAGATCTTCAAATACTGATTGCAACATCATGGCGATAATATTGTATCAATAAAAAAAGTAAATTTTTATAAGGATCCGTGAAAAAATTGTTCTAATTTGACTCGATGTAGACACAACCGGCAAAGCAAGTCAATCAGTGATACCCACGTCACGTAAATATACGACAGGAAACGACAAAACTGTGTGTACGATTACAGATTGTATATTCTTTGATAGTATTGTACCGTCATCGCGTTAAGTACCTATTATCGCCCACTGGTGGTTCCGGTAGCAACTAAGATGAATCTGGTTAGATAAAAAAGGGGACTTTTGTGCTTCTATGTACTTCTGCATTCTTTGGTCAGGCAGAGGGAAACTTGGCGCTTGCATACTGCGACCTGAATATATAGGTTTGTTTGAAATAACGCGGGAAATTTGGAAATTTTTCTTGGAAAATTACAAAATCATATTTCGCGATTGTATATATAATATATATTCTTTCAAACATTATTTAACCACACAGAAAAGAAATTCAATTGTTTACAAAGAACTTCAATTTTGATAAAGAATTAATTATAATATTAATGTATCGCTGTCTGTAATTATTTTCTCTCCGGAAATATGAAAAAGTTAATGACAGTAAGAAAAAGTGCAATTGATATTACTATTTTTTATACAAAATTGTAGTGATAAAAAAGTATTTATTTTCTTATTCTTATAATATTATTTATTAGAGAGCATTTAAATTTTATAATATAACTCAATCACAATCGGGGGTGTAACTCAGTGGTAGAGTGTCTGCTTCGCATGCTGAAAGTCCTGGGTTCAAATCCCAGCTCCTCCAAAGCTCTTTTTTTTTTTAATCTTCTTTATGTTCTTTAGAAAATAAATGTACGCAAGTGTTTCATGAATAATGCAAAACAGTTTCTTTTGTGAGTGTGTTAAAATATTTTAATTATTTATTCAGTCTCATTATTGAACAAAAAATGTAAGATGATTGATTACTTTAATCAATTTTTTTTTTACTTTATTATTTACATATCTATTTTTAACATGTATTCATTTATTTTATCTTTAATAGGATGATATTTTATATTTAACTATGACAGAATTATATGTTGGTTTAAAATACGCTGAAGAATATCGTCGCTCATAACTTCGGAATGTCAGGAAAAAGTAGATGTGCGTCCCGACCCATTGATAAGCACTTGAGCAGCAGGAGATATGGTAATTTCTAACCCAGTCTAATCACTCCTGCGGCACTAGTACTTAGGAACAGGACAGGATGTATTACTCATTGTCTGCTTATAATTTTTCACTAATTATCTCCCTTTTTGATCACACTGTTGACAATTCCGGAACAATCTTAAAAAAGAAGACAAAATAAACAAAATATATAAAAATATATTAACGATTTATACGAAGATATATAATTATACAATTAGATTCTATAATTAATATAGATCTTTACCTAATTCTTCTGTCCTTCATTAATATAAATCCAACAACAATGGCATGCTTTGTCTTTTCTTCGATTAATAATTATAGAATATTACTTCCTATACTTCTCTTCAGTTTAAAGAATAAGAAAGTTCTCAATATCGTTGCGCTATATTCAAACGAATAATATCTTTCTGAAAAGAGTAAGGGGGAGGGAAAAAAGAAGATATGATTACTTAGAGTGTTAGATCGAAGGAAAGGAGGAAAATCCTAATTAAGTTCGCCCACGGTTTGTCGGTAGTTCGTTCGACGAAATTAGATAATCGACAGGAGAATGAGACAACGACGACAACGACAACGAAGAAGACTATGACGAGTGCCACTCTATAATTTCTGTCATTTTATAAAGTAATAAATTAAAGAGTGGAACGAGGAAGACGTAGAACCGTAGTGGTGGAAGTTATATTCGCGTCAGTAAAAAGTGTCACGAACGTTCTCGTACTTTAATCGTCGTCGATTCGCACAATAATAATTTCTATTTTACGATTATTCTCTCTTGTTACCGATACGTTTTATTTCTTTATCTTTTTCGTTGTGCTATTGGGGAAAAATAGGGATTTGGTCGTTTCGTTCAACGGTAAAAATGAGATATACTTAATAAATATTAGTTCGCGATGGCGGGCTGACCGACCCAACCGGCGAGTACATCTACCATAATGATGCAATGACAAACACTAGCACTCATTGAACCGACCTCGAGAAGTCATTAAAATCGCCCACTACTGCGTCTCTCTTCACTTTTTTTCTCCCTCTCTTTCTGTAGCTTTTTCTTTCTGTATTCAAGTTATCGGACATTCATGGAACGCACACAATTCCTTAATAGAACCTGTTGCTAATCTACCCTTGCTATTTGATATTCCAATTAAATGTTAAACGTTCTCACGAATATTGTCGAAATGAAACAACCGAATGAATGATTGAAATATAATCTAACATATGCTGTCAAGAACGTGATTTATTTTACATAAAACGTATCGATGTATAACACGGAGTAATCAAATCTTTGATATGTTAAGTGTATACCAATCCATTTATTTGTTTTCTCGTTTAATATTGCATTCGTATCACTTAAATTAATTAAAATCTAAATCGAGGGATAGAATTTCCAAGAAAAATCGAGCTAAATCGAGCTTGCGATATCAGTCGTTGTGTTTCAATTATGAATAAGATACAAATTGAAAAATTGTTTTGTTTTTCTCGATAGCAAGATTCGTCGAAGATTTGTAACGTAATTTTATAATGGAAAGATTATCTATGCGAATATAAAGGGAAGAAATAAAAAAACAAGTTTTAAGAGATTTTAAAGAGAAGATGTCGTTGCATCTGTACGTTGAAGAAGACGACGTAAAGCTGCATAAAAGAGGATTAGAGAAAGAGAGAGAGAGAGAAAAGAAGATGCAGGCAAAGGCCGAGACTTGCAAATTTGGTTGGATACATAAACGTGTCGCGAGCACATGCGTGTCCACGCATGACGTTGCTTTCTCTCTATCTCTCTCTCTCTCTCTCTCTTTCTTTCTCGTATTCTGTAGACGTGTTATCGCTCTTGCAAAAAAATAATAAGAAGAGAAAAATAAAGAGAAGAAAAAGGTAGAGAAGGATGGAAAAATGAGTATATAGTGTATAAGCGAGCAATGAATACTCATGTATTAGTGCAACGGAAGAAAGAGAGGGGGAGGAAAGAAGAAACGAAGGCAGGATGGACCAGAAGAGTTTGAGAGAAAAAGAGAAAGAGAGAGAGAGAGAGAGACACGGAGAGGGAGAGAAGAACACCAATTAACGCTAATTCCCACTAATGCCGGCTCCCTCTCGATGTTCGTAAAACAGCTTGCCCTTTCAATTTCAAAATGCCTTGTCTGCGGGTACGGCCTGTTAATGATGTGCAGTGTCGACCAGTGGTGCACAAACCGTAAACGTGGAGTAGTATTTTTTTTCTAAGAACTCGTCAAGTTAGCTAACACGAAAATGAGGATCTTTGAATATGGGGAAAGGGGAAAAAAAAGAGAAGGGGAATTATTCGATAGAATTTTCAAATGACCGCCTTTTTTTTTTTTCTTTTCTATTATTTTACGCGATAATTGGATTTATCGATCTGCGAATAATTGACGATAATTTTTTTGTATGATCGGAATTAATAAGATTCACGTTGGAGTAGTATCAAGAAATGAATTTCACCTTTCGAGAAGGATGGACTCGAATCGAAAGAGAGATAGAAAATATTATAGAAGGAGGAGAACGTGCGTGCGTGCGTGTACGCGCGCGCGCAAAATCTTTCCGGCGGTAAACGATCGTAACTATGACTTCCGCTTACTCATCAAAAGGAAGGTTCGTTTATTCGACGAACCGAGACGACGACCGAGAATCGACTACGAAAAAATTCAAGTAATCCTCCTCGTAAGTCCTCGGGTTTTCTCGTCCTTAGATGGAAAATATATAATCGGTATCTTGACCCTACGACGATTTATTGTTATATAGGCTATTCCTTCGTCTTCATCTTTCTTATCCTATCGGCCGAGGTCGCGAGGTCGAACCGATAAACGTAGCCAGAGGGCAAATCGTATTTTCAGAACAACAAAATGTTGTTTCTCTAATAATAACGTTCTCTCTCTTTTATATATATATATATATATATATATATGTATATATATATTTTTTTTTTGTTCTCTTTTATTGGAAAATCTTTGTAATTAAATCTTGTATTAGCCAAGGAAGTATGTCATTGCATTAAACGACTGCGATGGAAAAGGTTAGTGATAAACGATTAGAAAAGGAAAAATATTCAATCGATTAAACATTTTTCTTCGCTAAGTAAATTCATTGAATTTGATTCTTAGAATATACGAGAAATAGTAATTCATTGATTCGTTGGATCACGCGGACAATTTTTTTAATACGATCTTTTTTTCTCCTTCTTCTTCTTCTTCTTCGTTTAGCTTCGTATTATAGTTTAATACATATATATGTATGCGTATAAACGACTTACGCATTAGAACGAGAGAGTTTCGAGAGAAGCGAACCGAACGCGGAAGATGTGCCTCCGCGTGGAACAATGACGTCAGAAATAGAGGAGCGAGAAACAGTGGGGTCATTTTCTGCATATCGAACTAGTTAGGCACTCTTTTAACATAAACCTTACGTTCGTACGTTTATTATTTAATATATTTTGTGTGTGTGTGTGTGTGTATATTTCTTAATTATTATTTCTTTAAATAATTTTTTACAATAAATTCGCAATGAAACAGGCACACGCGATAAGTCGACTACGACAACAAATTCATCTACGAGGCAAAAATCAAATTCGTGCTTTGATAAATCGAGTTTCGCAATAATGTTCTTTTGAATTTAACAGAAAAAAGAAAGAGAAAGAATGTTCTCATGCCCGCGTAAAATTTGAAAGTAAAATGGCCCCGCAAAATGATCGATGAACTGTCTTATTGTTAATAGAATTTGTCGCTTTAATGTTAAATAGAAAAAAAAAAGAACGTTTGAAATGAACATTACAAAGTGTTAACAAATAAAAGAAAATAAAAGAAGAATTATTAATATAACGAGATTCATATTTTTAGCCAATGATTTTGTTCGGCTCTTATCGTTGCGAAGAAAAGTTACCACTGTATTCTCAATGGCAGAGACAGACACGTGTTATCCTGATTTCTTTCTCTCTCTAGCTCTCGTTCTCGCTCTCTCTTTCTCTTTCTCTTTCCCTCTCTCCTTCTCTCTTTCTTTTTATTCGTCGCGAATATATATTCGGTCAATACGAAACTAGAATTATCTAACATTAGCAAGTTTTTCCTTCGTAATAGGTGAAACAATCGGAGGAAGTCCCACGATCTTTAACTTTCGATGGGTTTTATAGAACAAAAGTTACATGAAAAATGTATGCGTGTAATGTATATATATATATGTAAATGCGTACGAACACGGAAATCCTTCGTTATTTAATTTGCACACACAGCAAGACAAGTTTTTCGAGTAGGCGGGCTATTCAAGATTGTCTGCTTCCTGAATTATTTCGAAGTCACACCACACTTCTTGGTCTTTTTTTATTATTTTTTTTTCTGTTTTTTTTTTTTTTTCATGGAAAACGACGAATAAGATAATTTATCTTTTCGTCTGCATCGATACCATACCAACCGAATAAGAATGTGAAAAAAAGTGTTTATTTCATGATCGATTCACAAAACCAAGATCAATTTCTTTCTTTCGCTCGCTTGGTTTTTTCCTCTTCTTCTTCTTCTTCTTCTTCGTTTCGAAGCACAGGGAACCGAATAAGGAATACGAAATTGATAGATATTAAAAAAAAAAAGATGGTAGGGATCAGGCATTAAAAAAAAAAAAAACTGTAGAATATAATCAATGTGAAACCGAGAGAGATACGATAATCGCGAGTAGAAGGATCGAGCATGACTGAACTGCTGTTCTCTTCGAAACCCCTTCGACCGATCCCGCATCGCGCGATTCGCGCGCGCACGAGAGGAAGACGAAAAACAGAATCAAAGAGAGAGAGGGAGAGAGAGAGAGAGAGAGAGAAAAATAAAAAATGATTTCAATAGATATCGTGTATGATTTTTATAGAAGAAAAACTCGAAATAAAACGCGCGGTCAACCGTGACAAGGGTGGATCGACGACTGAACGATAAACCTCTCTTGATTGGCTTAATATAGTCCGGCGAGGAGAGTAATTAGCCGCTCCTCGCCGCGCGGGAAATGATTGGTCAATTTAAACCTAGAAACACGGTGCATTAAGCATTCAAGCGGCGTTCACTACCTATTAACGGTTTGCAAGAGAAGGCTCCTCTCGTCGCAACAACCATCACCACCACCACCACCACCACCATCATCATCATCATCATCACCGCTACCACCACTACCACGACCACCACTACCACTACCATCATCATCATCATCATCATCATCATCATCACCGTATCATCATAGCCATCACCATCACGAGTATCGTCACCTTTCTACGGTGGTTAGTACGGACGACGCTGGACCCTACTGGTACGAATTCTTTCTCTTCCTCCTCCCTTCAATCCCTCGACAACCCAACATTTTTATCCTCTCTCTCTCTCTCTCTTTCTCTCTCTACTTTTTTCCCCTCTCCGTTCCAAGTCAATTTACCAATTGAAATCAGTGCCGGACGGTGAGGAACGAAGTCAGTGAATGATCGACCAAGCAATATGCTTCCCTTCCTTCTCTCACGCTCTCTATCTCTCTTTTTCTCTCCCTCTCTATTTCTCTATTTTTCTCTCTTTTATGCTCACACACATACAACATATACCCAGTCCGTTATCAAACCATTCACCGGCTCGATCGGTCCTCATTGCTCTCGGATCGTCCAACGTGATTGGCCCTGACGATCACGAGATTAGGCGTTTGTTCAATGGCAACGCGCGATTCTTGCCACCACCGTGATCTAGTTCGAATTTTCAAATGGAAGATTAGTTTTGAAAAGCTTTCCATTATTTTTTTTCTTTATCTGGGCACATAACGCTTGCGTTATTCATCTTCTTCTCTTTCTTTTATCGCTTATGATTTTATGAAAAGTCTTAAAAAAAGGAACCAATTAAATAATTTTGATTTTTTTTTTTTATTAATTGTACGAGTCATGATACTCGTTGCAAAATATAAATCATACTTATGTTACGTTTCAAAATATTTATATTACAATTAAAGAGAGATATATTCTTTAGAGTATTTTTAAAATTGTGCTTTATGCTTTTCCATGTGATAAGTAGCAGCGTCGAGGTGAATTTCTTATTCATCACCAACGGCACTACTACTTAATACTTGAAAAAACAAATTTGATATTATGTTCTTACGTTCCTTGAAGATGATCTCGGGAGTTTCATTCGTCGTCGTCGTTCAGTTCTTCTCGACTGATTCTATTTCAAAATCGGACGAAATTATATACCCGAAGACTGGATTAAAGTCCAAAAACTTTCTATTGTATTTAAATAAACGTTCCTTCGAAAATTTTCCAAAATCGGATATTTAATTATAAACAAATATCTTGTGGAATAAAATCGAATTAGAACAAATAGCATTTATCTTTTATGTTAGACCTTTGCGTTGGGATAACAAGCGTAGAAAAGATAGTTTGATTTGTGAACGCAACAACGAGCGTGACTTCATATCGCCCATCGTTACGGTCACAAATCGAAATATCTTTATCGTACTTCAGGAAATTATATTGTTCTTCTTTTTGTTACCTGAAACAACAAACGAACAAATAAAAAAATCAAACGAAATGAAAATACAGTCGGAATATTTCCGATACGTTAACGTAATCGCGTTGAATCGTGTAATCGATATTGAATTTCAAAAATAAACATACATATTATACAAAAGAAGATGAAGAAATAATTATCATTAACCGATATCTTCAACGAACTTTTATCTTCAATCAACAAAAATTGTTCAAAGTGTTGCAGTTAAATTTATTAGAAGAGTATTCTTTCGCAGAGCAGTAAAAAAAGAAAAGATGCAAAGAGAAAAAAATAAGAAAGACCATTTGGGAGTGTCATCTATCGTTTGATGGATTCCTCCATAAATTGGCAAACAATAGTAAATGGTGGGTCTGGTACTAAGCTTGACGGAAGAAGAAGAAGAAGAAGAAGAAGAAGAAGAAGAGAACTAGAAGAAAGAGGGACGGGTTCGCCGATTAAACGACAAACAAGCCAGACACGCACTGGCCCTCATACTTCCAACACTTTATCTATAGAATGTATATAACTACTACTACATGCTATTCTGTTCTTTTCTCTTTCTTTTTCTCTGACTCCCAAATGCTTTGGTCATTTCATAATAATGGCACTTTATATGCGAGCAACCACCACCCTCTATAGGTTTTCCCATGCGGGCCCACTTTATCCATTTTAAAGGAACGACCAATTTTATTGATATACAATCGTCCATTTTTTGTTCTCCTTGCCTCTTCTATGTTTTCTTCTTCTTTCACCGCACTGTATGTATTTGTATTTGATATTCTTCGCTCATCGAAACGAATAAATCTTTAATCCTCTTATTATTCACATAACGACTCTCTCTCTCATTCTTGTACTTATATCAAATTCACTTAATGAATCAAACCGTCGAACTTTACTACACCAGAATAAATCTCGTAGTGTTAAGGAATAAATAAAATAGTTCGATGGACAAATGAATGCCCACCGTAAGTTTTATTCCCACTAACGTAAGTCGCAATGATCGTCGATATTCGCATATGTTAGAGATATTTGTAACTTTCAGTAGTCAACGATGGTGGCAACGATGACGACGACGACGACGATGACGATAACGAGGACGAGATGGTGATTGATTATATTTCATCCTTCGTACACTTGTTGAATTTTCCTCGATTCGTCTCGGTAAATTGTAGAAAGAAAGAAAAAAGAAATGAGAATAATTATATTTTATCTAACTTGTTTCTTATTTTTTTGCAATTGTAGAAAAAAAGAAATCAATTAGCAAAGTAGATATGTTGGTAGTATAACCCGGAATGGAATACGCCTTTAGAAATTGAGCTACTGGCAAACGTACGTAACTAAGTAGTTACACATGCACAGGTGTTTTTTCTGATCACGTGTGCCACATATGCATATTTCTCTCGACCAACATTTCTCTCAAGAGAGGATCGTGATCGCCCTTTGACTAATGTGAAATAAAAAAAATAGACTGACAAAAAAGAATTGGAGAAATAATCCAACAGTAAGGAGAAGCAAATTTAAACGTTTTATTTTATTCGATAAAAAATGGGAAAAATAATGTAAAAAAAAAACAAAAACAGACATAGGAAAAGGGGTTTAGAAATTATCTTTCTTTTTGTTTCTTTTCTTTTTTTCTTTTACGTTTAATTCGATTCTAACTTCCAAGACAAACTTGTGATAACGAAAAGAAAGTCAAAAGTCGAAAGTCTGTCTTGTTCGGTTTGATATTTTGTTTCTAAAGTTCCAGGGAAATTCGTGATTAAGTCGCGAGGCACGGCCCCGACGGGTAATTTAGAGGAGTTTATTAAATTAGGTAGAATGCGGTGCGTAGGCCCACGCCGGATACTCGGAGAATGAATCTCATCCAACGAGAGGAAGTTCGAATTAACTCGAGCCACTGCCAAGGGGGTACGACATCGTGTACCCCGATGTGCTACCCATAAACTCTTGACCTATTTTTTTTTCTTGGCACCTTTCCACGCGCTATCGGACGGACTCTCCGGTCATTGAACGTGATGTTCCATCATTGATAATTCTTTTATGTTGTTTTTTGTTAGTTTATTTACTTTATCGTTTATAAATTATACATTATCTTTCATAATCATATGAAAGAGAACGTTTGAGAGTACAAAGATATCATGCGAACTGACAGATTAATCTTATTTAAGAAATATTTCTTTTCGAAAAAAAGAAAAAAACAATAGAGTCGTGGAACAATTGGTCAGTTAATATAATGTGTGTGTGTGTGTGTGTGTGTGATAATTGTAATATGTAATATATATATTATAAAAGTCATTAAGTAACTAGAATTAATAAGATCGTAAAGCTCGGAAGTGTAGAATGTGGTAGATGGTTAAGACTTATTACAATCGTTTGACCTTTCTACTAACACCGTATCTCAACTTTGATGGGTTTACATTGTACGAGAGAAAGAGAGAGAAGGAAATGGTATAGCGAAAAAAAGAAGAAAGGAAGGGAGATAAAAGAATTTGAAATGAAATTGAACGTACAAAGAAGAGGACAAAATTATGAGAAATTATTGTATCGTTTTACTGAAATCAGCAGTACTCTAACATAATACTCGATTGATCGATATTTCGATAAGCGTAGATGACAAAATGAAAAAAGAAACGATCCTATCGATTATTTGCCGAAGTAATTATTGTGTTCTCGGTTTAAAATAAATGAGTCAGTGTATGATTAATGATAATTTTAATCGTGATGCGTTTAAATATTTTTGATATCGTTCTCTTGACGCATTATTATAACTAAGCGATACGATTTCTATATAAAAATTCACCATAGATTGTTTTATGTATTTAAATATATTTATGTATATTGCACAGACAAATTTTATTTATTCATCATCATTTGATAAAAAATATTTTTGTAGTTTTATAAATAATTATGTACAAATTATAAGAAATCAATACTATTATAATAGACGAGGTAATTATGCTTTTTCACATATGATGTCCACCACGGTTGCTACCATAAGCACCGGATCTAAACATCTGTGAACTGCGCTTTCAAGAATTTCGTCCAAAAGAAAGTGAACGACGCTGAAAAAGAAAATATAAGTTTACTTATGAAGAGAAATTTGATAAAAGTTCGTGATACATACTTTTCGTCTGAAACGAATCTCCAAAGATAAAGCTGCAGATAATGCGTATCGACTTGTATCTGCTGTAAGCCGTTTTTGCTAAGCGTTCGTAATCTGACGCATTCCAAAAATGTCTGAAAGGATATCAAAAAATAGTTATTATAATTTCTTTCTCTCTCTCTCTCTCTATATATATATATATATAGAACAGTAATGAGAAAAAAAAGTAAATCTTTACGGTATAAAAGTGTAAAATGTATTGCGTATCGCGAATTACGTGCAATATGAGAGAGCTATACTGACGCGAGAGTATAATGTACATACGCGATACAAAGTGGATAATAGCTGAGCTATTTTATCATTGGGACTGCTGTACAGCACCTGCACCTATTAAAGTACTTTACATGCTAAAAGTATATTTCTTCCTATGTACGTCAACGACGCGTTGTCCCTTGTATAATATTATTAATAAATTATGATACGTTCAATTACCTTTAAACTGATCTTGATGATTCCCGTTAAGATGGAAGCTTTGTTAAATTGAACCGATGAAAATATCTCAATACGTTCCGAAAATAATTTATGAATATTCGGTGCTAACGAAGGATCCAAACGATTCGGCGTGTACGAGGACCAATTAGATCTATAATGATTTCTTGATGTACTCACGCTAAAATAAAGTTATGATAAATTAAATAAATATCGGAAATGAATGAAATTATAAATCTTTTCTAACGTATATTTATACCTATGCGTTTTCCGACTACTATCGCTACTTTTGTCAACTTGTCCGTCTACATCATCGTACAATGCGGCAACTTGAGAATCAATTGCCGTTATATCTTCAACGACTCTTTTCATCACGGTTCTGACTGTTCTTGGTTCCATTGTGTGCAACCAATCTCGTGTCTCAACAGATTTTCTTATTAACTGTGAGACAGCTACGCCTTGAATACGGACATAATGATTCAATAAATTTTGGGCTGCCATTTGAAAATTTTCACATATCTCCAATTCTGGTGTAACAATGTTCTTTGATGATGTGTATTGTTCGATATTAAACAGGTCATCCGTTGTTTCCAGCTGAAAAATATACAATCGGAAATTAATACATTATTTATTTAATTACGTTTAATTATTACACTTCGTGTTAAATATGACAATTCAATAATTGAATATGATACATATTAAATTTAATAAATTATTTAATTAGATTCGTGTTAAACGTACCAAATATCGTACATTACTCTCTTTGTACTCAATACACATTTTGCTAAGTAATAAAAAGAGAGTAGGTGGAAACTTTGGAATATCTGAACCTGTACAAAATCCACTGGCAATCGCTGTTAGATGATGCAAAAATCCAACAATTAATCCTTCTCTAACTTCATCCACACAGAAATTATATAAAAACTGTGTCTTTGAATTAAATGATAAATCTGGTTGTAAAAATGCCTGTTTAAGTGATAAATAAAAATAATTATTTCATGGCGCAATAAAATCGATTTTTTTAAATGTATGTCAAGTAAAAGACAAACCAGCAAATCTTGTAATACTCCTTTAACTTTTTCAATAATAGGCATAATCAAAAGTGCCTGAAGTTCTGCCAATCCGCTATCCTCTTCTTGACTTAGTTTTCCTTTTTTTATTTTAACAGCTAACGTTTGTCTCACTTTAGCTAATGCTTCACTTAAATGTTCCTTTAAGGAATGCAAATGATTGCGACATTGTTTTCTTCCCGCATTTAGAACTATATCAATACTTGCTCTGAAATGTAATAATTAATAATTCTTGAATTGTCAGAATTTATTTCTTATTATATTTATGAAAATTTTTGATTCAATTACCCAGCAAAATCAGTTTCTTGGCAAGGCATATTTATGACCTGTAATCTTTTATAAAATCTATCAAGAGCTCTTACTAATATTGCAGTGTCGGCTACATTTTCTACTCTTTTTCTTATAAGATCAAAATACTTTGCTATGTTTCTAGTAATAAAATTATTTAAACAAGTAACAGCTATTGTGTCGAAATCATCTGAGAATTCATTACCTTCTAACGTTTCTCTATTTATGAACATATTATTATAAGATGCAACTATGAGACATAAATCGTTTAAAAATCCTGAACTACCCTTATCTATAAATTCAATCATATCATTTTCACACATATTCTTTAGTATATCTAATTGTTCCGACAATCTGGTCTCTGCGTGAGTCAAAAATTCTTTGCATAATGAATCAGGTGGTTCTTTTAATTGTAACAAAAGATCTATTTTTTCTACCAAAGCTTTAGTTGGCACATCTCTTTTATGAAATTGTTCTCTTAATTTAGATTTTAATTCTTTTAAGATCTCTTCGCAATCCATTTGAATTCCTTGAAATGAAGGCATGTTGCCATATTGATCAAGTACACGTTGTGCATTTATATAATCTTGTACTGCCTAAAACAACGTAAATACTTTAAATCTATTTGCAAGATACATAACATTTCTTTTTTCTCTTGAAAAAATAAATGTTACATGTATGTTTTCGTAACAAATCAAGAATATTACTTGAGCATAATTTTCTTCATTTATTTTCTCTTTCAGATTGCCCGGTAATTTAAATAGAAATTGTAATTTTTTTAAAAGAGTATGAACAGAAGACAGCTTAGCAATTTGCTGTCTAGTTCCTTGTAGAGTTGAAGAAATTTGTTCGGAAAATGATGTTATGCTATCCATTTTTTTAGCAAGTAAATCCATGCTATCTTCCATTCCTTTAAAATCAGTTTTCATCTAAAAATTTGTAAAATCGTTTTTAACTATATAATCTACAATTAATTTATAAATATTGAACCATTCGAACTACCTTTCTAATGGTATCTGTTGCTGAAATAAATTTATTATAATTCTCATATACTAATGTTTGCATGTCCGAATGCAAAGTTTGTGTATCACTTTTAATTTCAGCTGCATGATCCATAATTTGTTTTAACGTATAATCCTGCAAAATATACAAATTTAATAATAATAATGTATTGTAATTTAAAAAGATTTTAATTAACAGAACATAACATACTTTTAATAATTTTCTTAAGTAACTATCTGGATTAAAGTATTGTCCATTGATATCATACGGATTGTTAGAATTCTCTCCCATGTTTAAAGTTTTTATTTACTATTATTATAATTAATAATACTTTTTAAAAGATATTTTTAAATTTAGCATTGATTTAGGTTATTCGCATATAACATAGTTATATTGACAATGACAATAATTGTCAATGTGTGATGACGTCATAAACGTCATGCAGCCATCTTATATAACGCTCTTACAGTATTACCAACCTGTGAAAATGTTTCTCTAGATAAATGACAAAAAGTAATATTGACAAAATATTGTGAAGTATAATTCTTAGTGAGGGATAGAAAAGATATTAAAAATAATAGATACATTACTCTATATTTATTTAAAAATAAATAGAATAGTACATTAGTGGTGATAAATTTCGTAAGTAATTTAATAATGCCGGCTTTCAATGTTGGTGTTAACTACTTTGTCAAACTTACGGATTTGCTGTAATATATATTTTCTATATATGTGCAACATAGACAAATTGTTATTTTAACAAATAAGGTGCATTCTTCTACATACGAGATAATTCTCATGATTACGAGCTATTTCAAGACAGTGGATTGGTCGGATGTGTTTGGTTACTCATATTCCTTTAGTGCGTATCCATCTAGAAGTTAAATAGAAGACGCTGTTTGATAGGCACGTAACGTAACCTATAAATCAAGAGAATGAAAGTATTTCAAATAAAAAAAATTGAATACATATTTTTTTATCAGGTGATTAAGATTGAAAGATAAATATAAATATTTCAATAACACAGATTTATCTTACGAGTTATATTGATAATTTATTCAATGGGAAGTTTATTAAAATATTTTTTTTTGAATCAATATATGCTGAGGAGAAGAATAATATATAATCATCCAATTCCGGTGATTTAAAACTTGTAAAATTGACAAGATTGAAAATTTTGAAAAGTTTAAATGTCATAGAAACTTAATGTCTTAATGTCAAACATCTTAATAAGATGGTATTTTTTACTTAATGAATTTAAGTAGGCATAAAGTCAATCAAAACATGCCACATCCGTGTGTTGTGTGTGGACGTTCTCGTATGAATCCAAATAATAAAGAAGAAGAATATGTATTTTTTGGTTTTCCTGTTAATGATGAGGAACGATGCAGAAAATGGTTAGAATTCTGTTGTCGTGAAGATTTGTACAAGCTTACAAAAAAACAACTTCTACAAAGAATGGTATGTTCTAAACACTTTGAACAGAAACATTTTTTGAATGAGTATTATGATAAATTAAATACTACAGCAGTACCATCTATCTACGATCCATTACAGAGTTTGTATAATATTACATGCGTATTGTGTAGACGACTTCGTCGGGATCCACCTGATATAAATTATGACGGAGTTACTTTTCATCATTTTCCAGGAGAAGAATTTCGATGCTTGAAGTGGCTTGATTTTGTTGGGGTTGATTCTTATTACAGATTAACGAGGAAAGAAATATTGTTTTGTTATATATGTTCTAAACATTTTGATCGTTCACAATTTATGCAAGGTTATAAAAGTAGATTAGTGGACAATGCCGTTCCTAATATTCGCAATCCTGATGAAGTAGATTCAGCGGAAGAATATATTCTAGAAATGGATACAGAAACAAAAGTGTACAATTCGATAGAAAAAATTAAGAAATTAGAACCACTTTCACCAGCTGTTCTAGAAAGCCAAGCTTGTGCCGCATGCGGTAGATCTAGATCTGATCCAAGAAATAAAACTGAAAGATATAAGTTTCATCCGTTTCCAGCTTATGAAATAGGAAGATGTCTAAGATGGTGCCAATTTCTGGGTAGAGAGGATTTATTGAAAATGTCTCCCAATCAAATACGGAAATTAGTATTATGTTCGAAACATTTTCAAACTGGTCAAAGTTTTCATAAGGTTGGTCCTTGTGATGCAGTTCCAACCATAAAGGATGTTTCTTTAATACATTCTGGTAATTCTAATGAAAATATACAAGATGAAGAGATGACAGAAGAAACAAATGAGAATTCTGGTTATATTGCAACTACAAAAGGATTAAGAAAATCAGGATCTTTAACGCCTCTAGTATCTAGTAAAAAACCAAAGATAGATAATAAGCCAACACCGTTAGCAAAAAAACGTGGCAAGTGTAGAAGGCCAACAGTAATTAACATTCCAAAGCCTGACCCCAACAACATAGAAAATCTAATGGTAAAGAAACTACCTTTGCCTCCTACTCCAAATTGGAAATTTCAATATGCAGATCAATATCAACCAATAACAATAACAAACAATATTACATCAAATATTACTAACACTATTCCTAGCAATATAAAAAAAGTTATTTTACCTTTTACTGGCGACTTGTCTAGTTTGGGTAATCCAATACCAGTGCATAGTTTATCAAGCATTCCTCCTGGTTTTTTAATCAAAATCGATCTTCCTGAGCAGGAGAAACAAAAGCCTATAAAAACAAGTAGAAGGCAGAGTAAACAAAATTTTCAAATGAAACTGAAAAATGGTCAAGTAATTACTACTTTACCAATAATTAAAGATGAACCAACTTCAGATAAAAATCTTATCGAATTGCTATCGGATTCTCCAGAACCTATGGTAAGTACATATAAGACATTAGAATTAGACGAACAAGATGAAGATCAAGAACAAGACCAACAGCTAGATCAAGACGATCAAGATGATCAAGATGATCAAGATGATAAGGATGAAGAAATCATGCTACCGCATGGTTTTGAAGTATTAGAAGATGATCCGGATTCTATCAATATTAAAGAAGATGACTTTTTTGAAAATTTTGAGGAGGTTGAAACATTACCTGTCAAATCTCAGAAGAGAATTCGCAATCGAAACAGAAGATTAACTATGAGAAGAACTATTTTTCCTATACAAAGTGAGGTTAAATATTTTCTTCGTAAAGTTGCTCCACACATACATAAACTTCCTACAAAAGCGAGAGCACAGATTAAACTTTCTATTGTTAATATGGTGATCGATCACTTATAAGATTTATAATTCATAATACTATTTTTTAAAGAAAAAACCATTGTACATGATATATATAAAGTTTAAGACATTTTTCGTATAACAAGAAAATGATTAACAATAAGTTTGTAATTAACGAAATGGGTAGATATTTATAGTTATTAAGATATTGACAACTATGTCAGTATAATTTATGAAATCTTATTTTTATGCAATTGTAAAGACTTAGTTACTAATGTTATTAAGTGTTTACAAAATTTAGAAGATTTAGGTAGAGTAAAAAATTTTTATCCATTGAACACTATAACATTTTTCTAATAAAAGAAGAAAAGTAAAGTTAAAATTAATTTACGTTTAAATTTGTTGCCATTGAAATTATGTTATAATTCTTAGAAAATATTACAGAAGCTATGTTTAATCTAAAGCTCTAAATTTCTATCATACAAATATATAATTCTAAGCTTTTTATTAATAATGATTAAATTTTATTACGTTAATTTTTAAAATATGAAAATATAGAATGCAAGTTATTTATGTAAAAATAATCCTCTGTTATAAATCGCGCGTAGTACTAATAAAATTAATAAATTCCTTAAAGAATGATACTTATTCTATGATAAATGACATGTTAAACAAACGTTTTGCTTGTAATAAAAAAAAACAATTACTTTAAACTTAACAAAATGATATATTATTTTTATTTTATAAACTTATATTTTGAAAGTGAATATTTTAGCAAGTTAATACAAAAAAATAAAATGAAATATTGTAGATATTGTAAACAAACAACTCGTTATTAATCTTTATTGACTGCACTTTTTAAATATTTAATAAGGAAAATGGTTAGTAGTAAGAATATACTGTTCTGCCCAAACAGAGAAACATGCTTTCAATCTACCGAAGTTTGTCTCTGGTTCATCAGTCATTTTTACTGGAGTTAAGCAAGAATCTGTTCCCCAGTTGATATCTTTTTGCTTCATTACTCTACCTTTATAAGGAAGCATATCAGTTAAAGTTGATAACTCTACAGATTGAGTATTCAATCCTGCAGTATGCAGATAACTAAAGTTAGGACGTAATTCTCTAAAAAGAAACAATACATGTTTATGATTTGAACTTCGGAGTTGTTTTAAACAAGAAACATAATTTTGAATTCTAACTTTGGTGATATAAGATCCAACGATATTGGTTTCCACATTTTATCTATATTCGATGCATTAATCTCATCAGATTTACATTGAGTACAATGAAGAATTGGTTTATTAAATTCTTGGTTCCATTGTAAATTATTTTTAATCCAAAAAATTGGAGCCGAAACAATGGGATCTAGTATATTGTAAAATATTTCATATAAATCACACATTTATTTATTATTTTAATATAAAAGAAGATAATTTACCTATTTCTAATTTAGGTATCATAGGATTTAGCGTTCCAACAGTATATAGTTGAAAATTTTTAATAATTTCTGCATATCCAGGACAACTGCAGACTATGCCAAGAGGCTGTTTTAAAGACGCTTCGTGCAGAATCATTTTATGTTCGCCAACTGAGATATACAATTTCTTCAAATATATGAAAGCAAGTATATGTGAGAAAGAATAATTATTTTATTGTATCCAGTAATTAGAAATGTATATATAAGCATATTATACAATACATTTATTAAATAGTTGAGAAGGCTTAGTTGATTACAGCCTTAATTTTAATTTACAATACTGATATAAATACAATATTTACAAATAACCGGAAAGCATTATAATTTCAAATGAAAGTTCATTTTGTGATAGTCATCTGATTATACAAGATTATTTATAAATATCTATGTTCGTGATTAATTTCATGAGTGAATTATAGAATAGTACTTGCTCGTATAATTATTGTTACATTATTAAGATTATTTCTAGTTTCAACATATTGTTTCAGCTTATTTGATAAGGTTTATTGTTTAATTACAAGGAATATACTAGCGTAGTATTTTTCTATTATACATTATCAAAATAAATTAGTATAAGTGGTATTAATTTCAAAGCCAGCTTCTCAATTTATTCTTTAACATAGATAGTGAATATTTGGTAAAATATAACACTCATAACAAAAATATAAAGATTTTTAAGTATGCATATAAAACTCGTATTAAAATAATATTGTTTAAAAAATTGCATATGCTTAGAATTTTTATAGTTAGTTTGAATCGTATTGTGTTCTGTAAAAAAAAAGAAAAAAGAATGTGTACACATTAAGATGCTATCTATTTTAATTCTTCTAAAAATTGCAATTTTAAAAGGTGTCAAATATTTATGATTTTACCAACACAAATAATTTATGTATTAAGACTAACTGCGTAGACTCTGTAATCTATTTTTCATTTCTTCGAGTTCTTTATCGTCATCAACATTCTCTGTATCTACGTCTACAGACGTAGATGGAACAACACCAGGAGTTTCTGTAACAACAGCAGGAGCTGTTCCAAGTTGTCCTGCGGTAACTTCCCATAAAATCTAAAATAACATCATTGGATTTTTATATCTAGTATACTTAAATTTATATAAAGTGTAAGTGTGCTTAATTACTTTATCGACTTCTTCATCAGCTTCATCTTCCATATCTTCAGATTCTTCTATAGAATCCATGGTCTCATCTAACATTTCTTCGATAATACCAGCTTTCATCATTTCTTTCGATAATTCCCTCATAGTGGCTGCAACTTCAGGTACTCTCACTAACGATTGCATAGCCTGCATAACTTCTGTTGACTTAGAAACGGAACCTGCAACTCTTATTGTTGCTAATTGATTTTTCATTTGTAAAGAGACAGAATTTAAGTGAGCTTTCGATGTATACAATTTGTTACATGCCTTGCGGGCATGTACAATTTCTTTAGCAAGAATTTTACACACATCTTTGTCATTCTTTTTAGCAGCTTCCTTTAAGGAACGCTTTACCTTCTCTTCTTCTCTTTGAATTGCTACACGTAAACATGATATATATATATATATATATATACATATATAGATAAAAGATATTAAAAATTAATAGTTATTTAATTGTCAATAATATTACTCACCTCTAACCTGTCTGTCTAAATTGTAACCTTCTTTTCTTAATTTATGGGTCCAATCATGGACCTGGAATAAAACGTAACGATAATAAAATATGTAAATGAAAGTAGTGATAGAAATATACTTTGTTAGATTTTAGTCCTAACCATTTCTTTTGGATCTTTTTCTTGGGTTTTACCAAATAAACCCATCTTATAATAACTTTAATGTAGTTGTCAAATTTCGTGTATACAAGCGACCTTGTATATATTGTGCTAAATATAATTTTAAATGTCTTCGTCACACTGTCAAGAAATGTATAGTGCGTTTAGTATAAATGTTGCTTACCTATTCATATCACTCTCTGCATTACCAACAATCGAATTGTAGCGCTGATGTAGCCATTACAATATTCTTGTTCTCAATCACACTTGGAAAAAAATGAAAGTAAAGTTGGTATACCTGCAGGGGATATATTTAAAGTTGATTTCCAAAGAAACAACTTATAAGGTAGTGAAAAGAAATAAGTTAATTGTTCTTAATGTATAAACAATAGGTAAATATTTTCATTTTTTTCTGCTGTTGCGGTTCTACGCCAACTTTTTTGTGGTGAAATATATAGAAACTCACAAGTCCCCTTTTTAATCTACCCAGTATCATTTTTGCTACCACTGGGACCACCATTAGACAATAGTATGTACTTAACGCGATGATGGTACAATACTATCAAAGAATAGTGTATTCCCTCTCTTTTTGATAGTATAAATAGTATAGTTCTATTGTAATAAAATTTTAAATAAATATATTACATTTTTAATGTATAAACATGTGTGTGCCTTCAGAAATGCATTTATACGTATATTTTAAAATGATACAATTTAAGCCACTCAAATAAAAAAGAATCCAGAAGGTTTGATGATAAATCCAACGATGATTACCTGTAACAAGAAGAAAACTATATTAGTCATACAGACAAAAGTGATACAATAGCCTGACATATAAATCGTCCAATTCGCAGATGCACTTTTTAATTGAATTCTATATTTATTTTGATCAAATCTTTATTAATCGTTGCAATGAAATTAAATTTAAACGCGTGATTTTACATTTACATAAAATAAATAAAAATAAAGAAATAAAAAAAGTAAAAATACTAAGCTACTACAAAAAATAATATCTATTAATTATTATAAAATACTTTTAAACTACATTATACACAGAAAAGAAAAATTGTAAATTTAATAAAATACGATTATAGTGAAAAATTTTTAAGACGAAACAAGAAAAGAGAAATTATTGTAATATTTACCGAGAACATTATTTATAGGTTAATATAATAAATTTTCTTATCCAAAATTTTTCTAATATTATTACTAAGTTTAATCTTAGGGATATTTTTTTGGACAGGTTTAAATTAGATGAACAATTTATTTATCAGTTGAACGTTTCGTCCCTGTATTTGGGACTTCCTCAGCAACTCGATCGTTATTGTTCGCGAGTCAATATATCATCATTTCTCATTACAGTCATAAGTATTCACTATCTTATATATACAGTCAATTTTAAACCGTTATCCCTATGATAATGATGAATTTGATACTTAGTTTTAAGTATTATAACTAGCACTTCGCACTATCGCGATTTAGTCTTTGAAATATTTGATATAATTCAGTATTATAAAGAATAAATTGAATAAAAATATTGCAAGAAAATACATAACATTTATTGCATTATTTATTTCGATTCTATTTTATTTTTTGATATTAAAAGTGCGACGTGTTAATAGGTCATCGATAATTATCTGCTTGGACATACGATTAATTGTGCTCATGTATATGTCAATGAACTCTATGTTCATTCATGGTTCACGAGCTTTACTAATGAACAGTGAGCGTTAATAAATTTTGTAATAATTAATAATTAAAATCATAACAAAATACGAATTAATTAGTTTAAAGTAGTATGGAAGATCTTATCTTGCTTGCACGTAGAAAATGTCCAATGCAGTTTTCAGGGAATGAAGAGAGAAGAGGCTAAATGCCGAAGAGGCTAATGCCGAAGAGGCCCCCACTTAAATGTGGCTGAAGAGGGCAACTACATAGACTATTGAGTTATTTTCTAAAGTTCAACAGCAAGTTCGAACTTTTCGAGAATAGCTCTTTAGTCATAAATTATATTTTATTGTATTACTTTTTTGCTCGTCATTAATTTGTAGTTTTAATTGGAGATGACGGACCATTCCATCTCCTTGGGACACCAAATTTATGTTCGTTAAAATCGTCGAAAAGATGCATATATGTTTAATTAGAGTCAGAAATATTAAAATTTTTGTATTATTAAGTTTTGAAGCTTATAAATAATGTTCGGTAAATATTACAATAATTTCTCTTTTCTTGTTTCGTCTTAAAAATTTTTCACTATAATCGTATTTTATTAAATTTACAATTTTTCTTTTCTGTGTATAATGTAGTTTAAAAGTATTTTATAATAATTAATAGATATTATTTTTTGTAGTAGCTTAGTATTTTTACTTTTTTTATTTCTTTATTTTTATTTATTTTATGTAAATGTAAAATCACGCGTTTAAATTTAATTTCATTGCAACGATTAATAAAGATTTGATCAAAATAAATATAGAATTCAATTAAAAAGTGCATCTGCGAATTGGACGATTTATATGTCAGGCTATTGTATCACTTTTGTCTGTATGACTAATATAGTTTTCTTCTTGTTACAGGTAATCATCGTTGGATTTATCATCAAACCTTCTGGATTCTTTTTTATTTGAGTGGCTTAAATTGTATCATTTTAAAATATACGTATAAATGCATTTCTGAAGGCACACACATGTTTATACATTAAAAATGTAATATATTTATTTAAAATTTTATTACAATAGAACTATACTATTTATACTATCAAAAAGAGAGGGAATACACTATTCTTTGATAGTATTGTACCATCATCGCGTTAAGTACATACTATTGTCTAATGGTGGTCCCAGTGGTAGCAAAAATGATACTGGGTAGATTAAAAAGGGGACTTGTGAGTTTCTATATATTTCACCACAAAAAAGTTGGCGTAGAACCGCAACAGCAGAAAAAAATGAAAATATTTACCTATTGTTTATACATTAAGAACAATTAACTTATTTCTTTTCACTACCTTATAAGTTGTTTCTTTGGAAATCAACTTTAAATATATCCCCTGCAGGTATACCAACTTTACTTTCATTTTTTTCTAAGTGTGATTGAGAACAAGAATATTGTAATGGCTACATCAGCGCTACAATTCGATTGTTGGTAATGCAGAGAGTGATATGAATAGGTAAGCAACATTTATACTAAACGCACTATACATTTCTTGACAGTGTGACGAAGACATTTAAAATTATATTTAGCACAATATATACAAGGTCGCTTATGTTAATAATTAATTAATAAAGTGAGCAATTATGGATTTTGATAGCGCAATTAGTGTGCAATTAAGAGCACTTATTTATTTTTTTCTGATGTTAAGGTTTCTTACCAGCGTTTCTACGGTTTCTTTTTTTAGTTTTTAATGTGTGTAGATTATGAGTAAAACAACAAATTATTAATTCATATTGATCAGATATAGATAATTATAAGATTTTATACGTTTAAATTTTTTGAATGTTATTGCCATACAATGAGGAAGAATATTGTGGACACTGCAATCTGATTGATTATTAGTTTATCGAGATATTGTACTTATTTTATATATATATTATTTTATATTTAAAGTAATTTTAGAGATAAGTTATAAGAAGAAAAATAGATAAAAATGCTAAAAAACAAGGATTTTCAAAGTGACCCCATGAGGGTTCACAGAAATTGCAGCAAAATTAAAAAATTCCTATATGCATATAGTGACTGAAAATTAATTAAAACTAGTTTGATAAAGTTAGAGAAAACTCGTTGCAAAATAATTTATGAAGGAATAAGGTCTTCTTTCTAGTATTATATTTTTATTTTATTATTCTTTTAAATATCTTAAAAAAGAATAGAAAAGGAACATATATAATTTATTTACATTACATTTTTATCGACGACAATGTTTTTATTCATTCGACAAATAACGTTCTTAACCAGTTTACTAAACTTTTAAGTACATCTGTACCTTTGGTTGAATTTTGTTTTATGGCGCGTTGTTGTCTAAAAGGTTCACGATTTTTCTGCATTTTCTTAATAAATTTCATTCTTTGAAAAACGGGATTATTTTTTTTACGTTCTTTATTTTCATCTTGATAAATATATTCTGTTTCTTTTACGTTATCATCGTCTTTTATAATTTCGTTCGATCGCTCGAGTAATTTTTTTTTTAATCGAACATCCACGTTATTTTTATCGATTTTATTGATACGTTTCAATTGATTAGGCATATCATTTTCTTTCTCCATATCGTCAAGATTTAATCTCAAATTATATGTTTTAGCAAAAGCTACTACAGGTAACATTACAATTTCTACATCATTATCATCCAAATCGTCCAATTTTGTATTGAATATCGTAGATCTCAGAATTCGTTGTTTCGATGATCTCGATTTAATTATCGCAGATTTTGGATCAGAAATTTCATTATTATGTTTATTCAAAGCGTAATCATTATCGTTGTTAATTTCTGCCGTACTTCTTTTTATCAAACGTATATTTCCTTCGATCGGTACGTAACAGGGACAATTTTTCTGTAAAATATTTTCGCAAATGTTTTTTGAGATCAACAAAACGTACGAACCATCTTTCAATTTTTTAATTTCCAATGGAAATTGCACATTTTCACTCACGTAATATATCTCCGAATTCTGCAATTCCGACAAATCTCGTTCGCTCTTATCGATTTCATTCATTTGTTTTTTATTCATTTCGTTTTCATAAGTGAAATTTTCTTCGGAATTAGAATCTCGATGAATGAAATTTTTGTAAGTCGTAGAATCGTCATCGTTCCTTTCATTTACATCTTCCTGACTTTCTCTCTTTTCCGAGCTATTCGTGATATCATCTTTGGATGCTTTGGAAACTATGGGATTTCTTTCGAAAGAAGCATCCGTTGACCCGTAATAGTCAATTGTTGTTTGAACTCCTTTGTTAAAGTTAGTAACAATTTCTCGTGTATCGGCGTTATTCTCTATTTTACAAAGAGGACATTTCTTTTTATCTTGGAGGGATCCTCCTATGCTCGCCGAAGTGGTTTCTCCAATTCTAGGATTACTAACTCCGACAAAGGAATTTTGTGGTAACCTAAGTACTTCCGATTCATTAGTCTCCTCTTTATTGCTACTACTTTCATTCGATTGTTCTTCTGGCTTGGATATTCCAGGAATTTCTTCATTTATGTTAGCAACATTTCTCGTAGATGTTGTTTCAAAAAGACGAGTTGATTCTCCTCTACTTTCCTGATCTTCAACATTTTCCCCATAAAATTCAGTACTGGAAACGTAGCTATCTCGAATATCATTCGAATAATTATTTGTTTGTATTTCATTTACATCCGTAGTCGAAAGTTCTTTATCCGTTTTGAAATCCTCATAATACAACTCGGTTAATAAATTATCAGTCGTACTTTCGAAACTTTCCAATTGATTATCATCTTTCGTAGATATTACGATCTCTGTCGTTGTTTCATAATTATATGTAGTTTCATTATCTTGTAAAACGCTTCCTAAAATATCTCGAATCGTGTTCTCATCTATTTTCGTATCGTCAGCGTTTTCTAGTTGATGTTTTGCAGTTTGAATGATTATATTTTGTACGGTATTGTGTTTAGCTGATTCAAGACCAATCGCAGGATGATAAATGAGACTTTTTAAATGATCGCGTAATCTTTGAGAAATGTCATGATTTTCTTTTCGTTCAGACGATGTAAGTGGAAGAAGAGTCACCAAGTTGGTCGTCCAATGTCCCGAATGAAATTGATGTTCCTCGACGGTCATTGGTGGAAGTTCTGATTGCATATTTGGCAAAAGATTTAATGTATTTCTAAAAGTGTCTCTAATCACGTTGCTAGCTCCTTCATCGTGCAAAGCGTTTCTAGGTATTCCAAAATTTGTTGATAAGTGATCTTTCACCTTCTCAATGATTACGTTCTCGATTGGCGTTAAAGATAAGAGAGATCGCAAACGTGGGATTCCAACAATTTCTGGAGATAGTTCTACTTTATCGGACGTTTTATTAAAATCCTTAAGATCTTCAAGATTTACATCCTTTGAACTGAAATGATTTATGACCGTTTTAATCGAATTTACAAGCTGTTTATTATTGCAGAACGGTAAATAATGCGTCGTAGATTCAACGTCATCGTTCGAAGTTTTCTCAAGGACACTAATCTCGTTATCAATGTTTGAATGACCTTCGATAATCGTGACTGGATTTAAGGTGGTATCGAAGTTTTCAGATAATTTCATGAACTCTACTTCGTTAGGATTATTAGTTTCGCCATAAGTTACTTTTTCAATTGTAATTTCTGTTGTTGTTGTTTTTTCGCTCGAAGTTAAATATTGCTGATTGTTAGTTTGAAGTTTTAACTCGTTTGTCGTAGGAAGTGTAGAAGAAACTGTAAAATCATTGATCGTTGATTCTTCTTCAATTTCTGAAGATTCTATCGGTGAAGTGATAACGTTTGGCGAAGCATACTGATTTGAAATATCTGTCGGATAATCATCCGACATAGTGTTCTCTAAAAATAAATCGATCGTAGTCTGTTCTGATTTTTCTGTGCTCGTAAACGAAGAAGAATCATACGTGTCTTCTTTTAAAGCTGCTTTATTTTCTGGATCATTAATTTCGTCTTCTTGATTTTTGTCAAACAACGAATGTTCTCTTCTTAACACATCGTCGTTATATTCTGTAGTTGTTTCATCTGTATTTAAAGTATTTCCTATAATCGAATCGATTGGAATTGAATTCTCGATTGAATTCGAGTAGCTTTTAGTTGATAAAAAATCTTGCGAATTAGTTTGATCGTCCGTTATCTCTGGAATGTTTGTAGTTTGTACATACGGTGAATCGTTAATTAAATTCGTCGTACTGTCCTTGGATGAATTATAATCATAAGTAGACGGGCTGCTATCTGTATTACTTTCATTAGTTACGTCATAATCGATTAGAAGAGAAGTAAGAGTCGTCGATAATTGATTTTGTTCTTTAGAATTTTGTGTTGTTTGAAGAAGAGAAATTTCAGTGGAATCCACGGTCGAATATTCTGGAGTTTTCGAATCATTATAGTCTTCGCCTGAAGTATAATACGTCGTTGATTGTTTTATGAATGAATCGTCGTTCGAAGTTCGATAACTATCGGTTATGACATAATTCGAAGTTTCAGATATAATATTCGATGTACTAAAATCGTAATAATCTTTGTTATAATTTGCAGTCGATAATTCCGTAGATATTCGATCACCATCAGGTCCATTTTCTGTCATTATATTGTCATCATAATCGTAATATTTATCATTATTATCGTATGTACTCGATTGTTCGGTAGTCAATGTATCGTAGTAATTAAGAATCGATCCGACCTTTACCTCTTTTTCGTTGTTATTTTTATTTAAAGATTTGCAAGCCGTTGCAGCAGCAAGCATGCATACTTTGCGACCGTACAATTCTATACATTTTAACATATTTGCATCGAACGAATCCTCATCGATTTCTTTCTCCGAATTTAGGTCACTCTCTTCGTGGTCAGGATAATTCATGGTCGTCGAGAAATCATTGTTTCTCTTTTCTTCTTTAGGAATCAACGTACTCAATTTCTCATGTATTTCAGATGGATTCTTTGTCGCAACAATATGTTGCTTAAGCGGTGTTTGTTGATTATTAATCGAGTTTTGTTGATATTGTTGAGAAACCGGAGTATTCATGCCGATCGGAGGTTCAACTTGTTCGTAAGTGACTCGAAAAGGTACGGTTAAAGGATAAACGTGAGGTGGTATTCCATGAATGATCGGTAAATACTGCATCTGTTTGTAATTTCCATAATTCGAATTTAATTCGTGAGGAATTGTTCCATGTAATTTCGATAAACGTGACGGAATTTTCGATACTTTATAATCATTTGAATTCATTTCTCGATATTTATCTCTTTTCGATTTATTTTTTATTAATGAACGAGAGGCAAGCAATTTAGTTCTCGATTGACAATCCTGACAATTCTCCTTTCGACAATAACATACTAACTTTTGCGAATTTTCATGGAATTTTTTGTCAAATGGATTAATCTCTTTAAAATTGATATCGGGATTTTGTTCTAACAATTCCGCGAATTCGTAGTCGCTGTTTTTCTCGGTCGAGTCTTTTTGTTTGTGTCTTTTACGAATTTCTTTTAACAAACTAAAACCTACGTACGGTTCTCTTGTTTTTTCACCTTTTACAATTTTATCCTTGTATTTTTTACTTAATGGTATATTCGTTGTAGTACAAAGTGCCGATTGACAAAGCTTTATTGCTTTATTTCGAGGGCTTTTCTCTGTTATTTTGTTATCGAAATTTTCGCGTTCTTCTTTAATCGGTATTACAGATACGAAGGATTTTTGAGTTCTTGCAAATTGCGTATCTTCGTTCATCGTTCTCTCATTCGAAGAATAGTCATCGGTGCTCGATAATCTGTGTTAAACAAAAAAAAAAAGCAAAAATGAAAATTAAATAATTTATTAAATGCATCGATGTTTTTATTTTGTCAAATATTCGTCGTATTCTTATTTCTCAAGGTAACTGACGTTTGTAAATTACAGTAATTCCAGTCCATTAACACACTTTTAACTAGAATGTCTCGTTGAAACAATTAATGACTATATTTAAATAAACAAAAACTTACTCCCTTTGGTTGCCATCATTGTCTAACTGTTTCGAACTAATAATAGCGATAGCACACATTAAATAAATAATTATTATTTTATACATTTTTTGATGAAATTGCTTTTTCTTTTTATATATTTCGTTGCACTGCAATATTCGTAACGTTTATTTGATTTTATTTTTACGTTCTACTGTGATATCTTCACACGTTTTGCATTGAACTGGTTGAGATACACGCGATCACTATCCTCTTTAACGATGTGATGCTTTTTTAAATGCAATTTTACGATGAAGGTTTCGTATATCTGCAATCGTTGCATAATTATGCAACCGAAGTGGTAGTATTACGAAATATAAATCCACGTCATTTTACGACGGGCTGATTACGATTGTTTCAAGTAAGATGAAATTTTCTGATTATTTTCATGAATTATTATGCATTTCGGTTTGAACAATCTTTCAATGCAATAACAATGTGTAAACTATATTGATCGTTAATTACCTTTCTGTCTTCAATACTTTATAAATCAGATCAATTTATTTGAAACCGTGTGTGTGTAATACGAAATAATTAAACGAAGTAACGGCATTCCTTTTTTGTTTTTTATATTAAAATAAATATTACCTCTCGACTTTAATTACAATTTAAATTAATTGCAGCCGCAGATACGCGTATATATTAATGTTGAATTTAAAAAGGGGTCGTAATAATTATTCTAAAATATTATTTATAGATATCATTTATTTCAACACTTTGTTTTTCTTTCTCTTATTTTGTATACTTAAATTTATAAACATGCGTATATAGTTTATTACAAATTAAATATTTTTGATTAATTGTGTAAGTATTAACGAGCTAATGTTACACGATTTGTATTGAAGAAATAAGAATGTTATAAATATTATAATAAATATGAGATATGATGGCATTTAAAATTTATAATTTTTCATTAAATATACGAGTAAAGCCAAACAAAAAAGTGAATAATTTCTCCAGGTTCGTTTTCATCGTTTGAAAAATATTTTCCGTGCTCATGGACGAAGAAGTCGCACTTTGGAAAATGTTATTTTTATCATCTTTCGGTAAAGTCCCGTTAAACTTTTTATCGATGCTTTCCGTGAATTCTTCCAAGGACTCCGTTAGGTTCTGCGCTTTATCAAATCCCTCAGTTATCATTTCTTGTAATTTGGGAATAGCCCCTCGAAGAAACGATGATTTATTACTACCATTCGGTTGATCCCTTCGGCCATTATTTTTCATCACCGAATCGTGCCGTGAAAAATCTTCCAAAAAATTATCTACCATGTTCTCTTCTTTCGGAATCGATAATCGATTGAATTCCCAAAGTTCTTCAAGTATCTCAGATTTTTTATTCAAATTTTCATGATTTATATCTTTCCATGGTTTATCGTCATTTTCTTTTATGTAATTGTATACGTGTTTTAAATTTAATTTCGAATCGTCACGATTTATCTCGTTGTTCAGTATTTCCGTGTCGAGTTCGGTCAAATATTTTTCATACGTTTCATCCTCGTCCACTTCGCTGCTAAAAGATTCATTTTCTTCTGGTTTATAGTGTAAAAGTTTATTATCATCTAATAAAAGGTAATCTAAGTTCTCTATAAGATCTATATCTTTTGATAAAGGAATGGTGTTTTTTGGAAGATCCTCTTTAATTCGAAAATTTTCCGTGAAACTTTCGCTTAAAAGTGATCGCGAATTTTTGTTTTGATATTCAGGTGTACTTTCGACAAGATTTGATCCTTTTAATAATTTTGAAAATAGTTCTGAATTGTCGAACAACTTATCGGTCATAAGATCATTGTTTAAATTCACATAATTATGTCGTTTTGATCTTGTCCGTTCATTTTTATCGACGTCTCTTCGGGTACGACGATTTTTAACATTTTCTTGATTTTTCTCAATCTTAGAAATTTCTTCAATTTTCTTGACATTTTCTATCGAACTTGGAATTATTCTAATCGTATAATCTTCCTTTGTTACATTTTCTTCCATCGATTTCGAATCGTCATCTTTGGAATTCGTAGAATTATTAACAATATCAGATTCTTCCGATTGTTCCTCCACGTTTTTTGGCCTTTTTTTTGTATCGGAAATATAAAAAATTGGTGCAATCCTTTGATCCTGATTACTTTTCAATCTCTCGAAGATTATTTTGTCGAATTTTGGCTTGAGAATTAAATTGTAAAAGTTTGGTCTTGGATCGTCATCATAGATCAATGATTCCGAAGAATGTTCATGCATTTCTAATTCTGGATAATAAATTTTATAATCGGATGATCGTAATTTCGATTTTTCTTCTGATTTCATTGTCTCCGTGGATTCGTCGTATATATAACCAATGGGTATTTTTAAGGTACGAATCTGTAAAAGAAAAAAATCGATAAAAAAAGAGATCGACGGTTAAAACGTCAGACATTTATTTATTGCATAATAATAATAATAATAATAATAATAATAATAATAATAATAATAATAATAATAAAAATAACATTCTCTTCAGGGAGTCGAATGAAAATTAATTTACCTCAGAGTTTTCCGACAATATCTCTTTCCCTTTACTTTGATAAGCATTCCTTAGCTTTTCGTTAGATTTTCTTTGATACTGAAACATCCGCGGATTTTTCTCCTCTTTAGATTCGACTAAAGCGTAATACCCTTTATCAAAGGCAATTTGATCTTTATCGTATCGTTTACGTTCATCTAAAATATTATATGGGAATCTTAACGATTGAATTAATCTTGATTTAAATCGATCGGATTTAGCGTCGAAATCATTTTTAGATTCGATCAATTTTTCTTGGATTTTTTTGTAAGGCTTACTAAAAACGACTAAGGGAATAAATTTTTTTTCATCTCGACTTTTTGATTTTTCTTTTTCCAAGATATCGTCGACGATCGGTTCGTAAATTAAAACGTATGGGTTATTTTTTAGCTCGATCATGTCTTCTCCGTCGTCTTCGTTGTTTTTTACATTTTTCCATATTTCCCTTTTCAAGTATACTTTCATCTTATTCTCATTAACGTTTTTTTCTTTGATCACGTCTAACATTTTATCTTCGTATTGCTCCGGAATCTTTTTCTCCTCCTCTCTCGGGCGTAATTTTGATCCTATCATTTCCGATAACTCTCTACGTTTTCTGCGATTATGCTGATTTCGTTCTTCTTTTAATTTATGCGTACTCCTCTTTTTATTTTCGTACAATTTCTTAACGTTTCTTATTTGTTTTTTGATTCTTTTTGAAGATTTTGCTCGTTTCAATGTCGCGCCTTTCTCAGTTTCGGTTTCTTCTGTTGACGACGTGCCAGTATTGATCCCGATTTCAGTAGTTTTGGTCTCCTTCTCCGAGATGGATGTAATATTTTCCGAAAGCTTTGGAATAACTTCAAAAGTATCCTTGTTAAAATTAATCTCTTCTTCCGTTTCTTTGGTTTGCCCCGAAGGGCCACGAAAAAATTTCTCTTCTTTCGTTTCGAGTTCATCATAGTGTACATTTAATTCGTCTTTGAGAATCTCGGATAATTGATTACTAAGTTCCGTGATCATTGTAGACGAATCATTGATTTCATGATCATCCATCTGATCGAGTTCTGAATTAATGGATTCCACTAACTGCTTATCTACTTTTTCCAATTGTTCAGCTTCATAATTTTCAATGTTTTCGTTAGAAAATTCTGTAGTTTCTTCGTATTGTTCAGTTTCATAATTTTCTACGTTCTCGTTACCAGATTCTGTAGTTTTTTCGTATTGTTCAGTTTCATAATTTTC